TTTTTTTTTTTTTGTCTTTTGTCTTTTTCCGTGTCCGGCAACGGATCGCAACCCTCAGTGTCACGCCCGTACTGGACCGGGGACCGGCAACGCGATTGCAACCCTCGGCGTTGCCCCCGCGCCTCGCTCAGCCAGTGAGCTGGAACCGGTCTGCATGTGGGATCCGAACCCTTGGGCGGGAGCGCCGCCGCGCTTCCCAAGCGGTGCACTTATCCAGTGCGCCACCGGGCCGGCCCAGAATTTCATCTGTTTAAGAAGTTTATTTTCTTTCCCAAATTGCCAGTGTTCCTAATAATATTTATGAAACAATTCCACTTTCCTCCACTGACTTGAAATATCTACTTCTGAACTCTGTTCCTTTTCTAGGACCAAAACATTTGTAATGTTTTAATATTTCGTAAGGCCTATGGCCTTTATAGTATTTTTCAGAAACTTCCTGGTTATTCTAATATACACATGTGCACACACAACCTCCCTCCTTCTTAAAACAATCCCTTCCTTTGCTTTTCATGACCACATGCTTTGTGTTTTCTTCTTCTCTCTTCTCCAGTTTCTTCCTGTTATCTTTGCCAGCTGCTCCTTCACTAACTATTCATCAATACCGGAAAAATTTTAGGGCTCTTTTCTTCTCTTTCTCTCCTAGATGATCTCATTGGCATTGACTTGTTGACCTTGCTTATGGTGCTATTTTTTGTTATAAAAAAGTTTTATATTTTTATGCAATCAAATTTATCAATCTTTTCCTTTATGGCTTCTGGGCCATGACTTAATCGCTATGTTGACAATACCTAAATTTTAATATCAGCCTAATCTCTCTTCTAGGAACAGATTCATATAAACAGTTGCCTGTTCAATAACTCTACTTGGTGTCTCAAACTGAACACATCTAAAACAGAAACCATGCTAACCTCCTTAAACTGTTCTACTCTCCAGTACGTCTGTAGTAGAAATGGGATTGCTGAGTCAGAAGTGTGTGCAATGAGCATGCAGTTTTGATATTGCCAAATGTCCTTTCAAAAGTGTTGTACCAATTTATACTTATACTGGCAATGTATCTATTTCCCCATGGCCTTGCCAACAAGGTATACAAACTTCTGGATATTTGTAATCTGACAGTTCAAAAATGGTACTTTGGTGTAATTTTAATTTGTGTTTTAGCTATTTTGAACGAGCATATTTTCATATGTTTAAGGGTATCTGAATTTCTTTCTTGCTTACTGTCCATTTTTCTGTTAGGTCGTTGGTCTAGGTTATTGACTAATAGGAGCTCTTGATAGATTAAGGAGATTAATCTTTTGTCTGTGATATGAGTTGCAAATATTTCCCCCCAGTTTGTTATTGTTTTGGTTTGCCATGCCCAAAATTTTCATTTGTATGTAGTCAGATCTATCAATTTCATCTTCTATACCTTCTGGATCAGTCAATCAGAAAGTCCTTCTCATGTCAAGATTGTATAAGAATTGCTGCACATAATCAACCAATTTATAACTATTAAAAAGCAACGACTGACAAGCTGGGGCCGCTAAACTCAGGGGAAAAGGAGGAGAGACCTACAGAGTTCATGAAGGCATGAGAAGCTGTGATGAGAGAAAAAAAGGACCACACCAACAATTTCAAGCCCTGGCCACTTCAAGGCTGGCCCTGGTGAGCACACGGAGCAAGAGCTGGCAAAAGCTGCAGGTGTGCCCTTCATATGAAGTTGCTCGGAGGCTGCAGGGGAGAAGAGGGCCTCGGTGGCCCCTAGGCCACCAAGACTACTGACGGGGCTTGTGTGGACCCACACAGGAGTGAGAAGCCATAGATAACTGAAAAAAGAAGTCACTCAGAGGCCAGTGAATCATTGCAAGGGACCGCACATGGCCCGTTCTATGAGAAGTATTTAGAGTGTGGGCAGTGGGGGAGATGGGCCTACCAGGGGAACACTGGGGCACAGCATGGACAGCTGATCTGCCCTCCAATCAACACAGGCCCACTCTGTGTAGACTGGTTAGGAGTATAGAACTGCAGGGGGTGCAGTGTGCTGAATAAACTCTGGTCCAGACCAGAGTTTCCACACAACCCAGGTGTACCAGACCTCACAAGACCTGGAAATGCTTACAAGGTCAACAATTAAAACCTGAGATGCACAAAAAGCCTTCCCCAGAGAATCAGCAGCAAAGCAGCAATTTAGCTCAACCACAGGGCTCAAGTGCTGGTCCCAATAGGAAGTTCCCCCATTTTAGAAGTAAGCAAAGGACAACAAATTAGTTCCAGTTCAGAGTTTAAGTGGTGGGGGTAGCTAATAATCCAACACAGAACTGAAAGAAAAAGCAAAACACTCACAGATCAGAGACAAAATTTTGATATTAACCAGTAAAGTTCTAACACCACCAAAGAACACCTATAAAACCTCGAAGGACTGGAAGCGTCCTGGGCTCCCAAGCCATGGTGGAGAAAGGCTGAGGGCCTGAGCAACATCCCCCTGACATCTGCATCCAGCCCAGTGACAACCATTGAGCCACCATTGGAAGTGCCCTGGGCCCTGAGACAGGGAGGTGGGGAGCCAAGGGCCTCAGCTGTACCTCCCTGATGCATCGAGCCCAGTGAGGACCACCAAGTCATCACTGGAAGCACCCTGGGCTTCCTAGCTGGTGTGTGGGGGGCGTTGAGGGCCTCAACCATGCCCCCCCCCAACATTCACATCTAGCCAAGCTATAACCACTGAGCTGTTGCCAGAAGTGCCCTGGGCTCCAGAGCTGGGGTGGGGGTTGCCAAGAGCCTCAGCCATGTCCCCCTGACATCCACATCCAGCCTAGCCATGATCAAGCCACCATCAGCAGCCCCCTAGGCTCCACTGCCAGAATGAAGGGGGTGCCATGGGCCTTGACCATGTCCCCCTCCCCACTTCCTCGTCCTCCCACCCTATCCCCTTCCCCCTTCCTCTCTCTCCCTCCACCCCAACTGCTCTGCAACAGTACCTTAGAATGTAAAAAAACAAAACAAAAACAAAAACAAACAGATCAGATAATAGAATTGCTCCCTGTCATTTTCTAATATTTTCATGGTTTCATTTTGTATGTTTAAATCTTTAATCCATTGGAAGTTATCCTGGTGGTGGTCAGAGGGTGATATTAAAATCTAAAATGGACCATGTCTTTCTTTTGCTTAAAATCTTCTAATGGTTTCCTATTGCTCTTAAGATTAAATGTAAAATTCTTAACATGGTTTATCAACTTCAGTGTGATCTGGCCCCCTTCTTTCTGTGAAAGCATTATGTAACATCCTCCCCCTTGCTCTCTGGATCTTGTTGGTTTTTTTTTTTTAATACTTCAAAACGGTTACACTTATTAAAGTTTCAGGATTTTGCATGAGCTGTTCCAGAACCAAAGTTGAATCACTCTCTAATACACTCTTAAATCATCCATGACTGCTTCTTTGTAGCACCCACTAACTATAATTATTTATATAATTATGCATTCAATGGCTATCTTCCCTGCTAGATTATAAACTCCATGAATACAGATACTCTAGGTTTCTTATTCACTATGGTAGCCTACATTCCTAAGCATAATGTCTAAAACATAGTAGCTTTACAAATATTTGTTAAATGAGTAAATAATTGAAAAATAATAGGTTTAATGAAAATTTTTTGGATAACAGCTAAGTTCATTTTTTTCTACTTGTTAGTTCACCAAGTAACTTCTAATTATAATTTATTCTGCTGAACAATCCATATAATCAGGAAGGAAATGCTTTATGCAAATGACTGATACCAGGTATCCTATCAGACAGATCCTTTCATGAACTAATGAACTGTATTTTGGCTTATAACTTAGGCTTTTATAAATATATGGCTAGGGAGAATCAATCCCTAAACCTTAACTTTGCTGGTAGAACACAAAATTGGCCTCTGAAATAAAAACCAGGCTTAGAATTTCTTAACAACTTATTTCTTTGATTTTATGAGTTAGAATCAGCAGTAAATACCCAGGAAGGTGTGTGGTAGCAGAATGTGAACCCATATTGCTCTCCTGACAAATAGGTTATATAAATACATTCAAACCAGAAAGTACAACTCACCTCTTGAAAGTTATGTTGAGTGAACTTGTCTGCTATCCTTAGCAACTCACGACATGAATGTGTGTCAGCAAAAGCTCGAATGCCCAGGCAGTTAGAAGGATCTAATTGTCTCTTTAAGAACTCACAGCAGGCTTCCTGTATTTCTGCCAGCTGGAGGAGGCAAGCAGCTGGCAAAAGGGTCTGAACGTTGCCCTCTTCTACAGTTATCTGGGAGGTATATGCAAAGTCAATCAGTAGCTCCATAGCCCTCTCATCTATGTCTCGGATCACTACTTCTGTCTGACGGCTCTCTGCCAATTCTCCTGTAAACATAGCTCGGAAATAGGGACTACAGGCTGACAAAATGACTCTATGGGCATATATCTTCTTAGCGCCCACAACTAACACCACATCACATAGCTCCCGGTGCTTTCTCAGAAGGTTAATCACTTCCAAGGTTTGTCGAGGGTGCTTGTCTGAGATGTAGGGCATGCGCGCAGGTTGGGGAACCCCTTCTGGCAGTTTATTGGGGTCTCCAAGGGTGCAGCGGCTTGTTACATCCATTCCAGTCTCTCCTTGTCGAATGTTGGTACACCTATAGGAATAAGGGGGGTAGGAGAGAAGAGGGCAATATTATTAGAAGCTCACTTCTGCCCTAAAGTGTTCAAAAATCAAGAGACAGGGAAACCTGCAATTACCAAAAGAGAGAGCTACACCCTCAAAGAACTCTCTTTCTAAAAATTCTAGAACTCATAAACTTCCTTAAAGTCTCTTGAAGGATGAATGGTATTAATCTCAAGTCTTTTTCATCCTAGAAGTAGTCAGACTGTTTTGGGCCACATTTATGACAACATTAATTAAAATTTATGAAAAACATTTGTAAATGATTTTCTCTGCAAAAAACAGACCTATTTAATTCCTACATTGGGGTTAATCAAATTCTTGATATTGTTATTTCTCTAAAACAGCTAATGTTTATTTCTCATTTTCACTGGGTGATATTTTGAAATTTTGTAAGGTTCAAAACAAAATCTGTAAAATGTAGTTCATGTTGCATGAAAAAAACTTGAAGGAAAATAGGTCAGGGTCCAAAAAATTAACTTTATATTGAGTACTATATTTCCTTGATTCTAAAATGCATACTTTTCATAGTTTAATATCTAATAAAAAATTGGAAATAATCTAGAGCTGATGTCAAAGAAACTTGCCAGCTACCAGGCAGAGAAGTTGTAATCAATTGTTACTGCCCCGACATGGGAATTTTGGCCACATTTCTTAAAACTTTTCAAAGTCAATAGAGTCCAATGTGACAGATTCTTATGTCAGAAAATGACAATTGCTCAGGATTTGAGAGTTTTTGGTTAACTTTCAAGGGAAGAGATTTTACTCCAAATGATATATAATTCATTTAAAACCAAATAGGATTTAACATTTAACCAAATAGGATTTTGCTATGTCTCAAAATTATATACTCAATTTACAGTGGTTCTAAAAAGTTAAAAAAAGAAAAAACACAACCTTCTCCCCCCTGCCAAAAAAAACCACAGTCATGCGTTATATAAAGTAGTGTGTTACTGTGATGTTGTGGATAATTGCTGACAGCCAAACATAGTTCAGAGGATTCTTCAGTCTCTGAATGAGAGGAAAGCTTAGAATCAAACTTTGATTATGATACTGAAGAAAATTGAGTATTAATTAAATGGATAATTATGTGCTATACTGTGAGCTAGTAAGAAAAGCTTAGCATACTGTTAATGTAGTATTTACATTTTTTATTTTATTTTTTGTTAAATTTATTTATTTATTATTATTATTTTTACATCCTAAGATGTTGTAGAGCAGTTGGGCGGGAAGGAGAGTGGAGAAGGGGGAAGGGGATAGGGTGGGAGGAGGATGAAGGAGGTGGGGTATGGTCGAGGCCTGTGGCACCCCCCCTTATTTCCAGCAGGGGAGCCCAGGGGGCTTCTGGACACAGCTTGCTCGTCGCTAGGCTGGATGCAGACATCAGGGAGTATTCACATTTCTAAAAAGTTATTAAATCAACTGTGTGTCTTATAAGCGAGGAACTATAGTGAATAACTATGAAGTTAGTTAAAATAGTCTCTAAAACGATAAAAAAAAAAAATCAAATCAAATATTTTATTATTTATTTATTTTAAAAGATGACCAGTAAGGGGATCTTAACCTTTGACTGGGTGTTGTCAGCACCACACTCTCTCGAGTGAGCCACAGGCCAGCCCCAAATCAAATATTTTACAATGGAGCTGGCTGGTTAGTGCAATTGGTTAGAGTGCATTGCAGCCTTATAACCAACCCCAAGGTCACTGGTTCTGATTCTTGTGCTGGCCAGCTGCCAAAATATATGTATATATTTCTGTGAAGCTATTCACCGAAATAAATGAAATGGGTATAAAGAGTTAAAATTCCTTCCCCTACTTAACTTGGACTGAGTCAAACCACAAATGTCTTCAAAAGTTTTACTATATCTTAAATTAAGATCCATACTGTCCACTCCCCCCAAGTCTAATAGCTCTGACACTTGGGTACTATGGCTATTGTGTTATATTTTTGAAATTTATTTAGAGTCTTTCTAGCTTTAGTTAATCATAGCAGCCTCTAGAATCAGAGGGACCTGGGTTGAAATCCTAGTACTGACAATTACTAGATGGGTTACTTATCCTCTTAATCCTCAGTTCCTGTAGCTCTAAAATGGGTACCTCATAAGGTAAAGATTAAATAGGATAATGCACATAAAAGCTTTCAGTTCTGGGCCGGCCCAGTGGCGCACTGGATAGTGCGCCGCTTGGGAAGCGCGGCGGCGCTCCCGCCCGAGGGTTCGGATCCCACATACAGACCGGTTCCCGCTCACTGGCTGAGCGAGGCGCGGGAGCAACACCGAGGGTTGCGATCCCGTTGCCGGTCCCGGTCCGGTATGGGCGCGACACTGAGGGTTGCGGTCCGTTGCCGGATACGAAAAAAGACAAAAAGGGAAAAAAAAAAAATGGCAAAGAAGATGGCAGGCAAAATATTTATTTATTTAGCAGGACTCTTAACAGCCTTCAGACCAAGACTTTGTTAGACTAATTTGGGTCTATGGATATTAAATATGATGATAAGACTCATTTAAAAGTACTACAAAGTCAAATTGCTCCTGCCAAATTGGTCTGAATCAGTGAGGTTCTATTATGATTACAAAACAAATGTACAGGTCCATAAACAGACATTCTTCAATTTATAAATAAGTAGTTTTCTAAACATTTAATATTATGTTGGCTGTTTGGAGGTTTGTACTTTTCTATAGTAACAGTGCTATAAATGGAGGCTAGGTTTAGTTGCAAAATTCAGTACACCATAAGAAGCATTAAAAAACAAAATGAATGAGTTCCGGTCAAGATGGCAGAATAGACAGTCCCCAGCATCACTCTCTCCCAGAAATCAACCAATTTACAACTATATAAAAAAGCAACAACAGCCAAGCTGGGGACACTAGAGCTCAGGGCAAGAGGAGGAGAGACCTATGGAGTGTATGAAGGTGGGAGAAGCCACGATGAGAGAAAGAAAAAACGACTCTGACCATTTTGTGCCATGGCCACTTTAAACCTGGAGCTGCTGAACACACAGAGCAGCAATCGGCGAAAGCTGCAGCTGTGCCCTTTGGATGGCACTGCTTGGAGGTGGTAGGGGAGAAGAGGGCCTTGGTGGCCCCCCAGGCCAGCAAGACCACTACTAGGGTTCCCATGGACCCACATAGGAGCAAGGAGCCACAGCAAATGAAAAAAAGGAGCCACTCAGAGGCCAGTGAGTCATTGCAAGGGACTGGTGTATGGCCTGTCCCATGGGAAGTGTTTTCAGCAAGGGCATTGGGAGAGACGAGCCCACCAGGGGAACACTGGGGCACAGCACGGACAGTTGATCTGCACCCCAGTCAGTATAGGACCACTCAGAGGAGACTGGTAAAGAATATAGAATTGCATGGGTGCAGTTTGATGAAAAGACTCAGACCCAGATCAGAGTTACTACACAACCCAGCTGCACTGAGTCTCTGGAGAGCCTGAAGTACCTATGAAATTAACCATTATAACTTGTGCTGCACAAAAAGTCTTCCCTATGGAATCAGCAGCAAAGCAGTAATTTAGCTCAACCACAGAGCTCAAGTACTGGTCCCAACAGGAAGTTCCCCCACTTTAGAAGTAAGCAAAGGACAAAAAAATTAGTTCTGGCTCAGACACACTGCCAGCGCCTCAGTCCACCTGGGGATGTGAGGCATGGAGCCAGGGTCTGGACCTCCCTCCCCTCAACCAGGCACACCATGCCAGCACCTCGGGGCCCGCCCAGGAACCTGAGGGATAGAGCCAGGGACCAGACTCCTCCACAACCGGGCACACCGCCAGCATGGGAGCATGCCAAAAATGTCACCTCTATGTGGGTGGCCCAACACAGTCACCACAATAACCATGGCTGCTGCAAAAGCAGCTAGATGCCAAAACCACCACACAGGTGGTCCACCAGCCACTGGAGTGCATTAACACAAGGAGAGTCACCAGAGAGATAAAGAAAAGAAGAGGATGTCTCTCTCCACAAAGCCCATTCCAGAGTGACAGAAGAAGCATCTGCTCTACAATAATATTGAGGGACCTGATAATCCCTCTCAGCATTAGACAGACCATCTAGGTGAAAAATCAACAGAGTAACCATTATTCTTTCAGAAGGAGAGAAGAAATCTAGGGTAATCAGAGGGGGGAAGGATGAGGGGTATGGGGTGAGATTGGACAAGGGGCATAAAGAATAAGTATGATTTGTAACAATACATATGCTAGTAATATTGATTTGATCAACATATCTCAACACTGAACCCCCAAAATACGTATAATTAATTTTGATTCAATAAAAATTAAAAACAACAACAACAACAACAACAACAACAAAATAAAGGCCATATATGGCAAACCTACAGCTAATATCATATTGTGATATTAGACAAAAATTAGAGGCTTTTCCTCTAAGATCTGGAACAAGCCAAGTATGCCCAATTTCCCCAGCCTTATTCAACATAATACTGGAATTTCTAGCCAGTGCAATAAGTTAAGAGAAAGCAACAAAGAGCATACAAATTGGAAAGGAGGAAGTCAAACCATTCCTGCTTGCAGATGCCATGATCATATGCATAGAGAACACTAAGACTTCACCAAAAAGTTACTAGAACTAATAAATGAATTCAGTATAGTGGCAGGATACAAAATCAACTCACAAAAATCAGTAGCCTTCCTATATGCCAATAATGAAATAGCTGAAAAGAAACCAAGAAAGTAATCTCATTCACAATAGCTACCAAAAAAAAATGAAATATCTAGGAGTAAATTTAACCAAGGAGGTGAAAGACCTTTACAATGAAAACTATAAAATACTGGTGAAAAAAATTTAAGAGGACACAAATAAATGGAAAGAAAGCCCATGTTCTTGGGTTGGAAGAAGTAAAATCATCAAAATGTCCATATTACCCAAAGCAATATACACATTCAACACAATACTATCAAAATACCAATGACATTCTTAACAGAAATAGAAAAAATGGTGTTAAAATTTGTATGGAACCAC